TCGGGGGCCGGGGGGAAAAAATACCTCTCCCCCCGTTTTGGGTTTCGGGTTTAGTTTTGACCGGTTTAAACCCCCCAAATATTTTTTTTTTTTTTTTTGGGGGGGGGAGATTGGGGACCGGGGTGTGGGGCCTTTTTTTTTATTATGGGGTCGGACAAGCCCCCCGGGGGGGGGGGTTTCAGGGGGGGGTCTTTCCCTGGAAATTGGGGTTCCCCTTTGGGGCCCCCCCCCCCCCCCCCCCCCAACCGTTGGACGGTCCCCTCATTGAAAAACGAAGCTGTGCCTAGGCCGAGATTTGCCTTGTTGGAAACAAGTGATCACCAGCCTACCTACCACCCTTGTGGGCTGGTAGACTACTTTCATCATCACGAGCCTTCTTGGATGCCAATCAGCTCCTCCCCATATTCCCCTAGCCACGCGCGCGGTTCTTCTCCGATGCCGGGTGTGCAGCAGCAGTCGTCAACGTTAACATTTGCTCTTCTTGCCGAGGTGTGCACACCTCTCATCCCCCTCTCCCTGTCCCGCCCACACTTTTCCGGCTCTGGCAGGACGAGTCGACGGCAACACAACGCCTGCGTGCATTCAAGGATCCCTCTTAAGTCTCCTCGACCGACATATGTGTGATGTTGTCGTAGACCGAAAGGAGGACCGTTGGGGGATGAAAGAAGAGACAATGATATTTTTTGCCGGCAGCACCGCCTTTTGGGACACGCTTGCGCAACGTGCCTTGGGGCCGTTCCGGGGATGTCGCTCCAGGGGGGGGCAGTGGATTTGGCGGGGGGGGGGGGGGGGGAACAATGTTTCGGGGGGGGGGGGGGGGGGGGGCCCAAAGAAAAAAAAGCCAAACTAAAACCCCCCCTTTACTTGGGGGGGGTGCCCTTGTTGGTTTGAAGCGGGTTGATTTCTCACTTTTTTGACTGGGTGGGCCCTGAAAAGTGTGTATGGGCCGGGGGACCCTTGGCCAAACCCCCTAAAAAAAAAAATTTCTGTTTCCCGGGGGGGGCCTAAAAGGAAATTGTGAAAAAAATTAAAAAATGGAGGGCCAATTGGGCCTTTTTCCAATTCCAAAAAGCCCCAAAAGTGAAGGGGTTTACCCCCCCCGAAAAGCCCCCAACCCCCCCGAACCCCCCCCAACCAAAAAAAAAATTGAATAA